AACTAGCTCAGACACCCCCCCCCCCCCTGGTATATTTCAACTCAAGATGAAGTGGAAGGATTTTCTCTGCACCTGTGAACACATTTCATTTCACTTTCTGTGTTTTCGCCGTAAAAATTTTGCGGCACCGAGCGGCTGACCAGGTGCACTGGGGTGCACTCCTGCAGTGGCACCTCACTGAGATGAGCTGTGAATCTGGTGTTGGGGGGCAATGGAGCTCATTGCAATGTGCTGCCACTGACAGCCCGGAGTAAAGAAGATGAATCTTGGGTGCGGCGTGAGCTGCTTGTAGGTGTCACGGCAGGCCAGTGCTGAGGCATGGATGACCAGTAACATCATTCTTTCACCACCCTCAGTTTCCCTTGCTGCTCTCCCACATCACCATCAACCTCCCCACCCCTACTTTCATAAAATGACGAATTTGACTCTGTCACCCCATTTCTGAGCGCATGATGTAATGGGACAGGGAGCTAAGGAAATGCAGAGGGTAGTACTAGGAGTTAAAGGAAGAAATGTCCTGACAGAACCAAAAAAGGTAGTTGAAAAGTGGAGAAAGAAAGACGAGACATTTCTTAATAAACAATATGGCTCTAAAATGATCGGAATGTTCATTGATGTTTTCAAAATGTTCTACATTGTTATATTTACTTGGTTTATGGGCTTTTAGAACTTTTTTTTCTGAAATGTTTGCCGTTTTACCGTCCATGCTGCAACAGTAGTGCATCTTGGTCTAGGCCTTGGTTGTCCTGTTTGATGTTTTATGAAGCTTCACTGACTGGAGCGTCTTGCCTTGGTCTGGGGTTGCTCTTGGTTACCTGTGATCAGCAAACGTCTGTTGGCAGAATAAGTAATATCTCTTTGGGGAGCCCTTCTTTTTATGCTCTGCTTGAAACTGGTGGTGTATTGATTTGGCTTGTGGGCTAGAATTTCTCCTGGGAGCTAATAAAAATAATTACTAAAAAGATCATCAAAGGCCTGACCTTCTGTTGCACACATGAATAAATATGGAACCACGGAAAGTAGAAAAGATTACTTGTATGTTTCTGGTCAGTGTGGGTAGAAGTGGTACTCAAAGTTGTTATATCTTCAATTATTAGGAAAATTGAGGCTCTTATTTCCAAGTTTATCAAAGCTTTATCGTTTAGTTGTATTTTAAAGGGATCCATGATTAGTTGTAAAATTAGACTTTATTTAATAAACACATATTTTAACTGTAAAATAAAGACTGTAAAAATACTGTAGGCTGTTCAGTTTTCATCATTTTTAGACTAAAAGTTTAAAAATACATTACACGGGCAGGGCCATTTTATTTACACGCAAAGCGTTCTGGGTAAATGATGACGTGGGCAGGTCATCAGTGCAAGGCTGCTAGCAAGCTATATCCACCCTGAAGGTTAATCTTGGACAATATCTGACGAATGGCTTTTTAAAATGAAACCAGAGAGAGTTGACAGAGAGGGGAACGCAAAAATGACTCAGCCTGCAACTGAAAATATGGATGGAGGACCTCAGTTTAGCTTGTTTGTTTGTCGTGCTAGCACCGAGCTAATACATATAAGGCAATATAGTGTCAGCGCTAGCGCAAAGGCTAACAGGCTAAGCTGAGGTTCTTCTTCCATGAAGCAGCTCTGTTGTCCTCCATCCATATTTTCAGTTACAGGCTGAGTTATTTCTACCTTCTCCTCTCTGTCAACGCTCTCTGGTTTTATTTAAAAGAGTCATCGTCAGATATTTTCCAAGGTTAACCTTCAGGGTGGATATAGCTCGCTCACACTGAGGATCTATCCATGTCATCATTTACCCAGAATGCTTTGTGTGTAAATAAAGTGGATTCGTCCGTGTTAAAATATATATTTTTAAAAAAATTACAAAACTAAACAGCCTACAGTATTTTTACAGTCTTTATTTTACAGTTAAAATATATGTTTATCAAATAAAGTCTAATGTTAAAACTAATCGGGGATCCCTTTTAATACGAGTTCTAATATGTGATATGTTCAAAACATGGAAAAGAAAAACAAAGAAAACCTGATCAAGCGTCGCAAATTTATTGGGTAACAGCAAAACAGAACCGCTTCCATTTCAGTGAAGCTGACATAAGTAGACATAAAGAAAAAAGGCAGAAAAGAATCACCTGGTTCATTAACCCCTCTCTGATTTCATTCTCTGTCTGTGTTTTGTGTTTGTTTGTTTTCTGGTTCCAGCTTTTCTCTAAGAGTGGATGACTGCACAGCAGTGGTGAAAAGTAATGGTGGTGTTATTGCAGACAGGGGGAAACACCGCGTTTTGATTGGAGCGTGTGCCCCGAGACCCAGTGAAGTGCACTCGCCTCAGCTCAGAGAGCACTTGATTGCACAGCACCAATGATCGTATTAAAAGGGCAACAGAAAGCCCATTTACCGTAAAGAGAGTGGGAAAGGGGACCCGGTAGGAAACTGAAAATTGACTTTCACTCCAGTGAGGGGCAAGATCGGACTTCTGGGTGGTGGAGAAGCACATCATTTTTAATTTTTTTTGTTCTTTTATTATTATTAGATTTTGGGGGGTCAACACATGTATATCGAAACCCCAAGAGTCTACAATAATGCACACCCATGTAGACACAAACATTTTGGGTTGTGCTTCCCAAAACCAGGCAAGGTTAACGTGCTGAGCAAATTCAGGATTGAGATTGATGAGACAGTTTTACACTATAGTCTGTGGCATATGGATGTGCTTTTAACCTTTGCTACCCTCACACCTGACTCTTTCCACTCAGGAAGGATGCTGACCAACCACGTCTGGTCCTCTGTGCACCCAGCTTAGCTTTCTCTGGCAGTTAAAGGACAATTGTGGAGTCATCTGCTGTGCTTGTTTCCAGTGGAAAGAAAAGAACAGATGGAAACTCGAGGTTTAAGTGATTAGAAGGCAGTAGATTGGAATACAAATTGGATTTAAAGAAATTAGACTGATATAAATCGAAGAGAGCTGCCACAGTTTAGTGGGTGCATGCGCATTGGCCTTAGTGTAAAACCCCAGTGGGGTTTGTGGATTGAGGGGTGGAAACAGATGTTTCATTGAGATAGGAATAAATGTGCATTTGACAATTTGTGTAGGGAGATGGGGGAGTGTATGGCTACGTTCACACTGCAGGCAAATGTGGCCTAAATCCTTTTGTTTCACCCATATGTGAAATATGTCATATTTTATTTGGCACTCTGAATTTGAAAAAAATCATATTCTATTTTTAAATCCTGACCCTCATTTAAATTTTAATGTCAACAATGTCAACAAAAAAGGAAAAGCAAAATATTATCAGCAAACATTCATAATTAAACAGTAAGACCTACAGTGTGATGCTTGTTTATGTATGTCTTTTATCTTACTTTCCATTTATCAGTGTCTTGATGTTAATTTGCTGCTTGGTTTGTTAAATTGCTTACTGCATAACATAAAACTTGCTCTTACAGAAAACTGGTTGCTGGCTATGTTACTGTCATTGAGAAATAAATGGTCTAATGGACTGCTATCATCATACTGTGAGTTAGTGTTTTACCACCATCAGCATATTCAGTATTCCACATATATTACCAGTGAGATTAGATCATGAACTGTGGGAACATGCTATCACCAGCCACCCAAGCACAAACCCCTGTCTGTGGCCCCAGTTAGCAAAGGACACTAGGCCCAATCACTAATCAATGACTGACAAATAAAGAGAATTAGCCCAAATTAGGAAGAAAAGAGAACAAACAACCTCTTGTTCAGGGGTCAATATGCTTCTGTCTGATGCTTGATTTCTGACAACTGGTGGACTTGTGCACTTTTGTTGTAAGAAAGTCATTGTGTTTGCATGGGTGTGTATGTGCGCACACACACACACACACACACACACACATGGCTCAGCCAGAGACTTTCAAGTGCAATTTTTTTTTACTGATAAGTTAGTTTCTAACCACCCCTGCCTTTTTGCCCATGGATTCTTAAGGGTACAGCTCATTCAATTTCCCCCAGGACTCTCAAGTAGTAGCAGTGGTGGAACAAATACAAGACAAACTGAGCAAGGACTTGGAACCTCCATTGTTTTTCTTTCATCCCATGTTAAATTTAGTTCTTGCTCAAGCAAAAAGGCCTTTGTGGTACATCGGGCTTCTCTACAGCAGGAATTGTCCTATTGGCCCTCTGCACTGCTCTGGGGAAGGTCATAGTCATCAACTCAGCTCAATCACATGCACACATGCAACAACTCATTTGGCAACAAAGAGCTTAGCTCTCAGATTTATTCAGCACTGATTGGTGTGGATGTAGCTGCCAACTTTACTGCAATTAGTGATTAGACTTTTATGTAGTTCGTAAGGAAAACTTTAATAGTTAAAAACATTTGCCTGATTTCCTCTGCCCTGTAATGGATCTGCTATTGCTTGGCGCTGGGTTAAACTACTTGATCGTTGCATAGTTATGACCTATGTCATGTGAATGTGTGTGGCCCAGAGCATATAATTCCTATGGGTAAAACCCAGTCACAAACAGAGCACTCTGATTGAGGGACCATTATCTTGGCCACCACGGTGAGAGAGTTCACTCACTGGACTTCTGCATGGTTTTCAGCACAAGGGATTAGCATTTGACATCAGTCTAAACTCCAGTACTTATATTTATTCTCTTGAGTTGTGTGATGTGATGCAAGTTTAGCTTGTGCTTCCCTTTGATTGATCACCCAAGTGTCCAACTAATCTCACAATCCCCCATAAAGGTTTGAGCAGAGCAGATGTCCTCTTTGACTGGTCTTAAAATGTGTTTATTAAGACTTTCTTGCATGCTTTGATTATGAAATGAGTATTAGTAACAAATTAAATGTTAGTCAGCCACCCATTTCTCACTGCTTCTCAGATCTGGGTTGCCATGGGAGAAAGCTGAGGAAAAAATAACACCAAAGTCATTGCTTTCTGTCATTTTCTGGGTACAAATTTTGTTTTTTTTTGTGGTGCTTTAATTATTTTCATGTATCCTTCTTCCTTCAGGATCTCGTCTGCGCCAGGAGGACTCTCCGCCTCGAATTGTGGAGCACCCCTCTGACCTGATTGTATCCAAAGGGGAGCCTGCCACTCTCAACTGTAAAGCAGAGGGGCGGCCAACCCCGACGGTGGAGTGGTACAAGGATGGAGAGAGGGTGGAAACCGACAAAGACGATCCGCGTTCTCACCGCATGCTGCTTCCCACTGGCTCGCTTTTCTTCCTGCGTATTGTTCATGGACGACGGAGCAAACCGGACGAGGGGGCCTATGTCTGTGTAGCCCGGAACTACCTGGGAGAAGCTGTCAGCCGTAACGCATCTTTGGAAGTAGCATGTAAGTCAAGATTCTCTCACTTATTCCTTGTTTTGCTCACCTTTTGCTTTTATGTGAAAATCATTTTGCTCTTAGAATAAATTAAGCAATTGGCTCGACAATGACAAGTCTGAGTCTTGCTGCTGTTGAAATACTGTGCTCAACTAATTATTGCAATTTTTTGTAAACGTCATAAAATACTTATAAAATATAACTACAAAATGATTTCTTGAGGTTCTGAAAGTACTTTTGGTGGGGTAATGAGTTGCTGAATGAGTTTGTCAGACATGAACTTGATGCATTGGATACTTTCATTTTGCTCGGGGGAGTTGTTTTAAGTTGTCTGCAGACCTTTGAGTTGGACATAAAGCTGCTGTCAGTCTATGAGAGGGACATGATGGCATGGCAGACACGGGTTCTTCACAGGCTGAGTGGGGGTAGTATGACAAGCATGGCTCCTGATGGACATTTAGCTCAAGCTGTCTGGACTGTGCTGGTGACAGGCAGAACCTGAGCTGTGGATCAAATTACCTTTGAAGATGAGCCTGACACGCCCAGGAGGCTCAGTCTGGGGTTCCCATGCAACCTCTCCCAGGCATCTCAAACTGCCCATAATGTGAAGTGGAAAGTCTCTCTGGCTTTTTGTTGACTTTACTAGTGATTTATGCAACATCACAGTCCTGTGTGATTTAGAGATGTGCATTAAGACAGATTAATTTTAATGCTTGATGCATTACAAACAGATTTTCAAGATCTCATATTATGAAAGCAACTTAAATCTTAGCTTGTCTGTTAAATCTACCATCACTTAGCATAAAGCTGAGCTTGGCTCTACTTTCAACAGACAAACCAGTTGCTATTTTGTCATATGCCTTTATTTTGAAAAAAAAAAAAACAGAAATTACTTGTTTTTTATTTGTGTTTTTGTGGATGCACTGTGAAGGTGATAACAACAGCAGTGGGTTTCACCATTTGTGATCCTGGGAAATGGAAATGGACAGCATTAGTTATTGCTTCTGATCTGGTGTGCTGCACTCCCAAGGGCCTTCCAGCAACCTCCAGGTGCTAACTGTTGACAGCAGCTTGATCTATTGATTGCTGTCAGATGTCTCTCCCTGTTGAAATGAAAATTCATGAAAAAAGTGATAAAGTGACCCGAGATTATTTTTTATTTTTCTCCCTCTTGGATTCTTGAAATTTCTTTTCAGTGTTCTCGCCTTCTCATGTAACATAGGCTGAGTAGCTGGAGGTGTTGAATGGAATATTTCCTTCTTAAATGGCTTAGAGGTGAGAGGTCAGAAGGAAGAGAAGGGTTTCAAGAAGTGGGAACACACATTTAAAGAGTATATTAATAAACTCAAGGTTGTAGAAAGATATTTGAAGTAAATACTTAGCAAAGGTGTAGATTCATTTTTACAAAAAAAAAAAAGTCACGAAGACAAAATATTGGGCCGTATGCAAGAACAGGTTCGTATTCTTATCCTAAATTTCTCTTACTTTTGTTCATACGAAGGGTGTAGCAAAAGAAAAAAAGAAAAAAAGTCAGACTACCTGATGATTTTCTTTTTTCTTTATTACCACAATGGCTATTACTACACTGACAATTCTCCCACAGAGTGAGGGACACACACACCTGAGCAGACTGACAGCAACTGATTCAGAGTGAGACTTGATAATGGAGATGGGTTTTATGCGTGTACCCATTTCCCACTGACAGAAGTCTGTTGACTTTTTGTCTTGTATTTTTGGTTATTTACAGTTATTTGAACAACTGAAAGCATCATGTTGCTCTGTGACAATATGTTTCATCATAAACTACATTAAAGTGCTGCTTGAAAGAATGCTGTTGAAATTTGAGTCCAAAACGACAAATGGGACTTTAAAACCCAGACACCTTATTGTTTAAAGAAACAATTGTTTTCTCCCAGATGTCAACTTGTATGTCCATCATTGCTGTTTGGAACTCAATCCCCATGACAACTGCAGAAGCAGTGGGTTAATTTGTTCTTTTCTATTAAACTTTGTTCTTTTTAAGCCTGAAAGTGCTGTCTGTTAATTAATTACAATCTAGCATTGTAATGAAATAGTGTTAAAGGAGAACTATTTGACATAAAAGATCTGAGCATGAGCAGATTTTAGCCTTCAGCGGCACACCACAGAGATTTAAGAAGATGGGGTGAAAGAAAAAGCATTGAAATATTAAGGCAGTATATTATTTCAAGGCATTAGTGACTTGTTGCAATTTTAATGGGTGGTAATCCAAAGGATATTGAGGAGAAAAGCAATGAAGTTGATATTCAGGATTGGTGTGTGAAACAGTCCAATGTCTGGCCAAGGGCAACAAAGTAGCCATAATTGCTGGAGTTCTCATGAAACACAGCTCCACTGCTGTTCTGCTATCACGCTGTTTCACTTTTCACTCTCCCTCTTGAATATGCAAATGAATTAGTCTTGGTCTATGGTTGGTCCTGTGATCGACTGGCAATTTGTCCAGTGTTCACTGTTCTCTTGCCCAGTGGAACATGGGAAAGCTTTCAGCCTTTTTTTTAAATCAGGTGTGGAAAATGAACGAAAGGACAAAAATGTCAACATTTTGAGGACAGACAGAAGGTGATAACCAGTTTAATTTGAAGTTTTTTTTACGACTGTTCTCATGCTTTATGACTGTTTAATTTCATGGCTCTCATTTTGTTGTTAGTTTTAGGAATGACTTGTTGTGGGCCTTAGCCTTTCAGACACATTTTAAGAGGGGCTAAAGGTCTCAACATACACCACCCCAAAGCAGAACAGTCTACGCACGGTCACGTGGTTGTTCGAAGTTCGTTTTCGCACAGACTTTTCATTGTCGTTCAAAATGTCTGAATGGCAGTTTGCATGCAGAGACCTTAAGGTAGTAAAGGAGGGGGGGGGGTACTAAATCCCACTGCATTGCGTTTTTTTTTTTTCATTGATTAGCTTTATCAGGTCCTGACATCTCTCTGATTGTAAAGCCAAAGCTAATCGCACAGACAAAAGCATTAAAATCTATATTCATGTTGAGCTAAGTTTATGATATGTCTTGCACCCCCCCCCTGCCCTTACTCAGACCACTCTTCTTATTCTGCCTCTCCACTGGCTTGAATGTATTGAACCCACCTTTGCCCCCCTCTCTTCACGAGTGGTTGAGCAGGACCCTGGTGAGATAATTGAATTGCAGTTCTAAAAAACAGATTCAACAGTGTCCACTGAGCAGAGCTGCTGAGCTGCTTGCTGGACCTCAAGCTGGGTGGCTCTCACCACTTTAGCTGAGGTGGAATGAAAAGCAAGAGACGAGGCCTCGGAGAGAAATGCTTTTGCATTATTAATGCAGACCAGATTGGACAGACTTCACTGTGTCTTTAATAGACTTAATCCTTCAACCATATCTTTTAGGTGTACACACGTTCACAAATGCATGAACTGTTTAGATTGTGTTCCATAGATCCGTGGTGCGTGTAACAAGTGTCAGTATGCAACTTTGACATCATTTTACTGCACATTAGGTGAAGATTTTTTTAAGAGTTGTTTGTTGTTCCTTGCTTTCACTAGAGAGAGAAAAAATGTTTAAAGGAAGATTTCTGCATAGATTATTCAACTCAAAACTGACCATATACAATTGTTCTGCATGTAAGTGGGTATGCCCCCTTTTTTTTCTCAGAATAAACTAGGTCAATGAGCAGGTTCATAAATCATTGTTAAGACTCCGTCAAGAATTCTTGCTGCAGCCACTGCTGCTGAATAAATTGCTTGCCCCACGAATATCTGTGTATATTTAAGTGTGACAAGGCACACCTGGGGCGACAGAATCCCAAGGAAAATGTTAATTTAGACCATCTCTTCAGGTGGATGAGTAGCACACATACACATCGCACCGGATATGATGGTAAGCTGTAGAGTGAAGTGTTACAGTTTTTAATTGGATGTCAAGTGTGATTCGGACCTTCTGATTTGTACTGTATGTGCTTGCTTCTGTATTAATGCATGTAATAATTGGTAGGGGACGCATCAGACTTGGATAAGACACAAGGTCTTGAGATACACAATTTACACTTTTGCAGCTTTGCTCAGTTTCTAACCTTTAAAAAAGCAAATGATACAAAAAGCACAAAACGAAAAAAGCAGATGTCTTAGTTTAGTTCTAAATGCCGATTGGAATGGGACTGGATGACTTTTAAAAAGGTCCTTTGATATCTAATGTACCACTTTTGCAATTAAGTGAATCATTAGGTAGCATTTGGTTCTGGTACAACAAGGTAATTAGCAGGAAAATAGAGTTGGGAGAGGTGTGAGTGGTGATGGGAGGAGGAGGAGGGTACCAAGCTGTTCCCTTTGCGTCCAGCACGAGGAAAAGCTAATAAAGAGAGAGGCCAATAGGAACAGGCCAGGTGGGGAGTGAGGCTGAGCCACACCGCAGAGCCTTTCACTAGCTCATCTGGACTCATTATTCCAGTTCAGAAATGAGACAAGCACACACAAACAACAGACAGTCATTCACTTTCAGACACATGTACACAAACACCTGCCCTCATGGTTGTGTAAACCCCGATGGGCTGAGGTTTAATCTGCGCTGAAGTCCTTGAGAAATAATGAAGGGTAATGAAGGAAGAAGCAACAATGCAGCAATTATATCACATTAATGATGCATGCCATAGTTAGGAAATAAAACAGTCTTTAAAATGGATCTCATTTTACTTTGTAAGTAATTAACTCCTTCCAATTATCAATGGGTATCCATTTGGTTATAAGGAGATGTGTAGTAAACCCAAGTATTACTGAAGTTGAGATTCATTTTAAAGAATCAAAACAATCTGATGTTGATACTGGTTGAGTTTTAAAATCTAGCTCAACATTTTTTGCCACAATCAATGCTGATAAATCCAATGGATGAGTGAACATAGCCCCTTTTCACATCTTAAAATCAAAATCTTTACATTCGAAACCAAGCTTGTTTAACCACCGTCTCCCCAGCTGTTGTATCGGCTTTTACGTTTCCTGCAAACAGT